GAGGGCGGCCCCCGTTTGAACAGAAACAGGGGATTTCCAAAGTGATCTGTTACTTTTCAAGCTGCCCCCCCCCGTTCCATTTGCTCCGCCGTCAATCGCGGGCGTTGGGGCCCTCCCTGAGGCTCCGGAGGGTCCTGGACAGCTCGAGAGCGCTCTAAGAGCGCCTAAGGTGGCTGCCCAGACTGCCCAAGAGGCCTCCAAGACGACCCGAGGTGTCCGCCAGAGCGCTCTAAGCCGCCTCAGTATGGCTCCAAGACGGACCCCAGGAGGTCAATGTCGTCCCATCTTCTTGGCAACGCGTATCTGTTTACCACACTCGCGTCTTTACAGCATCTATTGCGGCCCCTGATGCGTCCGAGGGGGCCTCGAAACGGCTCAAGGGGACCTCACGATGGCCTAAGAGGGTCCCACAACGGCCCCAGAGAGCTTCAAGGCGGCCCAAAAGCTTCCAAACAGGGCCAAGCGAACCCAAGGAGATTCCCAAGATAGTGCCAAGAGAGGTCGTGGGGCGATATCTTGGCCAGTGTAGCGCCCAACATATCCCCTAGATTTTCTTAAGAGGCCCCCAGAGGACTCAATCAAGAGGCACCCAAGCATACGCCCCAGTGGTCTCCCAACAACGTCCAAGAAGCCTCCCAGATACCCTTGGAACTCTCGTTTTGGAGTCTCCTTGAAGCTCTCTTGGGGTCTCTCTGGGACCCCCTTCAAGCCTCTCTCGCAGCTTTCTTGGTATTTGCGTGGATGCCCTCAGTGACTGTCTCGTCCCCCCCATCGAAGCGCTGTTTGGGCTCCTCTCAGAACGCCTTGTCCCTGGGATCTCGTGTCCCTCGGTTTCGTTCGGCCACTTGCACTATCGTGAGTTATATTACCCTGAGTTGCTTTGCGTTGCATGTGCACATGCCTCTTCGGGATTCACATTGCACTGGTGAACATAGCTCTCCGTTGCCTTGCGTTTGCTTCGCTCACTTCTGATTGCAATGCTTTGTGCTGCCGTGCCTTCATATTTGATTTCCATGGCACTGTCATGCTAGAGCCACTTGTGGGGAACTACTTTGGTGGAGCTGTGGGATTCTCGAGGGCTGGGCACCTAGAACCTAGGCGCGCGCGAAACGCGCGCGTGGTTCTAGCCTCCTCCTCCTCCCCTCCCACCGCCCCCCCCCACCCTGCCATGCCTGTCCCTCCCTCGCCTTTCTTCCCTACTTTCTCTGGGACTCGCGTATCCTCGCACCCCTCCGCCCCTCTTCCCCCTCAATTGCACTTCTCCTCCTGCCGTCACTGCTTGCCCCCATTGTTCCTTGCTCGCCACGCCTTGCGATGTCATGCTACGCGCTGATCTTCGACACCATGCTATGCCATGTAATGCAATGCAATGCTGCGACATCCGATTGTGCGAATAGAGAGGAGATCTTCGCCATGGTAAGGGATGGTAAGGAGGTGTAGGACGTCAGATGTGACGCGAGCGCACCTAACTTGAGCCCCTCCCCCTCTCCCTGTTTTCTCCTCCCCCGATTCCCTTCCCCTACGCTCTTGCCCCCCCCCCCTCGCAGCTTTCCTGCCCCTCGCGCAGGAGCGGTGCCACCACTACGAGGAGGGTTGAGGATGAGGAGGGGAGGAGGGAGCAGGAGAGGCGGAGGATGATGATGATGATGATGATGATGATGATGATGATGATGATGATGATGCTGATGCTGATGCTGATGCTGATGCTGATGCTGATGATGATGATGATGATGATGATGATGATGATGATGATGATGATGATGATGATGATGATGATGATGATGATGATGATGATGATGATGATGAGGCAAACAAGGACCAGGAACTGGCGGCATTGTTTTGCCGATCGGCGCGGGCCCTCGCACCCCCCCTTCCCCCCTCCCTGGAGTAGATCTTGGTTGTTTTTTGTTGCGCCTGTTTCAAGCAGGTGGGGCCTTCCTCCATAGGACGCACTGCTGCAAACCGTCGCACTAGGCAGTGGTCTGGAACCAGACCCCCCCCCCTCCCTTCCCCTTCCGCCCAATGTCGACACGCCGAATAAGACAACGCTCACTTGAGGAGGAACAGGTGGAGGAGAAGGAGGGGGAGGAGGGCCAACGGACACTGAAGAGGCACCAGCGATGTTGCACTACACCATGCTTCCAAGTTCCCTCTTCAAAGGTCACGGCAACACTTTGCCTTCATCGCAAGAAAGGGGCAGTTACTTTACAATCGTCTGATCCTCAACCGTGCCAGAACATCATTGCTGGAACTTCGACAACGCGGATCAACGGGATTGGTGCGTGTTGGCAATCCCCAATCGTGCCAGACAACCAGTCTCGGGAAGTCGGCAATCGACATCTGTGAACTTGTTGCAAACTTGGAAGACGGCGCCCACGCGAGAGCCACATTTCGAACACCACCAGCCCACCATCCGTGACCCTGGTGCAATTTTTTTAGGCGAATGCGCGCGGCGCCTTGGCGAGCGCCGCATTTTGAACATCATCCGCCCTCCATTCGCGAAGCGGTTGCATTTTTGAGACGATTGCGCGCGGCGTTGAGACGAGAGTCACATTCTGGAAAGGACCAGCCCCCCCATCCGTGAAGCCGTTACAACATTTTACAGATGCATGTGCGCAGAGCTCAGGCGAGAGAGCCCTTTTGGAAACCACCCGCCCTCCATCCGTGCAAGAGTTGCAACCTTTCAGGCGGATAGCGCGCGGCGCTGAGGCGAGAGCCACATGTTTGAAAGAGACCAGCCTTCCATCCGCGAAACGGTTGCACCTTCCAGGCTTCAGGGTCTTGCATGGCGAAGACGTCTCGGGCGACACGCCGAGCCCGCCCTACCGACACGTCTGGGAACGCGACAGGGAGGTGCACTTCAAATGGCAAAGGGATGGATGGGGACAGGAAAACGAAGAGTTGGTGAATGATAGGACCAGTGCACGTAAATCTAAGGTGCATCAGCGACGCGGAAGTACACCATGCTTCCAAGTTCCATCTTCATGGGTCCTTGCAAGACATTGGTTTTCATCACAGACAGCGGCCCATTCAACTACAACCGTCCGATAATACTCAATCGTACCAGAACACCATCTCTGGGATTTCAGCGCCGCGGATCATCGTAATTGGTGCGCCCTGACAGTCTTAAATCGTGCCAGAACACCGCTAGTAGGCATACATATCCTCGGAATTGTTGTGAACCTCTGGGACGACGGTGCGCGACGTTCACGCGAGAGTCACATTTTGAAAACCACCCGCCTTCCATCCGTGACCTCGTTGCAGTCTTTTCAGACGCATGTGCGTGGCGCTTAGGCGAGAGCCACATTTTCAAAAGGACCCACCCTCCATCCGTGAAGCTGTTGCCAATGTCAAGTTTCAGGGTCAGAATTGGCGAGGATGTTTCGGTCAAACCACCTGGCTTGCTATACCGATACGTCTGGGGTGCAGCAGGGAGGAGTAATTTGTATGGCAAACGGGAGGAGGAGGTGAGAAAGAATAAGAGGAGGAGGAGGGTGAGGAGGACAAGTGTAAGCACAAAGCGCGTCAACCATACTGCAACAAACTATGCTTACAAGTTCCCCCCTGCACAGTGTCCCTACAAGAATTTGTTTTCATTGCGGGAAGTGCCCCATTGAAAAACAACCGTCTGAGAATCTTAAATCGTTCCAGGATGCCGTTCTTGGAACTTCGACACCGCGAATCAATTTAAATGCTGTGTCCTCACAATCCTAGATCGCGCCCGAGCGCCAATCCTGGGAATTCAACCATACGAATCCTTTTCAGCTGTTGTAAGCTGTTCAGAAGAATGCGCGCGGCGCTCAGGCGAGAGACACATTTTGGAAACCACCCGCCCTCCATCCGTGAAACTTGTTGCAATTTATCACGGCGAATGTGCGCAGCGCTCAGTCGAGAGCCTCATCTTGAAAATGATCCGCTCTCAGTCCGCGAAGCTGCTGCAATTTTTCAAGACGCATGCTCGCGGCGCGTTGTAAACTTTTGAGATGAGCGCGTGCGGCGCGAAGGCGGGAGCCACATCTTGAAATTGGTGCAAATTGTCAGGACAAATGCGCGCGGCGTTGAGGCGAGAGCCACATTCCCCAACTAGGCTTGCCTAAGGGGTTCTTACTTGGTTGAAAGTTGGTGCCTCGGGGGGCTACTTTGCCCGTTGCCCGGAGATTCCCCGGGTTCCGCGGGTTCCCCGGGTTCCCCGACCCCAGTGCCTCGTATGCTTACGTTGCCTGTTGCCCAGAGGTTTCCCGGGTTCCCCGTGTTCTCCGCTCTCGGTGCTGGTTCCCCAGGTTCCCCGCTTCCGGTGCTTCATGCCAAGCAATGCGTACAAATGCCAAGCAATGCCAATCAATGCCAAGGAATGCAATTCAATGCCAAGCAATGCTCAGCAATGCCAAGCAGTGCCAAGCAATGTGCTAAGCAATGTGCCAATCAATACCAAGCAATGCGCCAAGCAATGTGCCACGCAATGTGCCAAGCCATGCCAAGCCATGCCAGGCAATGCCCAGCACTGCGCCCATGTAATAGGAAGCTTTCCTCCACTTGGGGTTTCGCTGGGTTCATTTCGAAAATAGCCCGCCCTCCATTCGTGAAGCTGTTTCTTATTTAAAAGCTTGAGGGTCATACATGGTGAGGTACTCCCAGGCGGAACGCCCGGCCCGCCCCACCTGCACGAGAGGGGACTCGACAGGGAGGAGTTCATTCGCGAGGAAACAGGATGGAGGAGAAGGAAGAGGAGGAGGAGGAGGAGGAGGAGGAGGAGGAGGAGGAGGAGGAGGAGGAGGAGGAGGAGGAGGAGGGAGGGAGGGGGGAGGAGGGGGAGGAGGGGAGGGGGGAGGAGGAGGGAGGAGGAAGAGGAGAGGAGAAAGGGGGAGGCGGAGGCGGTGGAGGAGGAGGAGGAGAGGAGGAGGAGGACGAGGACGAGGACGAGGAGGAGGAGGAGGAGGAGGAGGAGGAGGAGGCGAGGAGGAGGAGGAGGAGGAGGAGGAGGAGGGAGGAGCCAGGCCGCTATGACCCCGCTCCCCTGCCCCTGACTGGCGCGCCCGCCGCGCTGCGCCAGCCCCGCCAGGCTGTGGAGCGGCGCCCGCCGCCTCGCCGACCCAGAGGACCCCCCCCTCGACGCCCCGCCTGCCGCTGCCACCTTGGTCGCCCCGCTGGAGGCGGCCGCCGGCCCCGCCCGCGCCTCGGCGGCGAGCCCCGCCGCGCCGCCCGCCGACGGGGCGCCCGCCGCGCCGCAGCGGCCCTGCGCCGCGGCGGAGACCGCGGCGGCGACCGCCGCCGCGCTGTCTGCCGCCGGCGGCTGTCCCGCACCGCAGGGGGCCGCCGAGCTGCCGCGGCCGGCTGGGGCGGAGACACCCGGTGCAGGCGGGCCGGGGGAGGCTGCGGAGTCCCGGCCGAGCTCGGGAGCGCCGAAGAGGGGTCGGGGGCGGCCAAGAGGAGGGTGATGACTGGGGGGGGGTATCATGGCGGGGGCCATGAGATCTCCCCAGATGTCATGGCGCCTCTTCTTATTTCATTACATCCCTGGCCTCCCCGTGGGCCGCGCACGTGCCGCCGGCCATGATTTACACCCCACCTCTTGGACGCCCCCCTTCTTGGCCGCCCCCGAAGGGGGAGCATCAGAAGCAACGTTTGGGGGGATAGGTGCAGAGGGGAGTGCATCCAGGCCTCCCGGGTGGGGTCCGAGCAGATGGAATTGGAGGATCGCGCCGCATCGCTGGTGCATCGCCGATGCGGCTCGATGTGGAGCCCGATTTTCTGCACGCCGACGGCGCCGATGCATCGCCGACGTCGCCGATGCATCGGCGATGTGGCGCGATCCTCCGACACCGTCTAGCCAGACCCCATGCAGGAGGCCTCTGTGCATCGATCCCCAATCGATCATTATTGATTCCCGATAGGGGCACGGTAGGCCTAACCGCCCAGAAACCTGCGGATTCGCAATCGGGGCGGTCCCAAACCTCCATGCATCGCATTGAACAAAGTAAAGGCAGAGTTTTTTTGTTGGGGGGGGGGGGGGGGCTTTTCCGGGTCCCGGGACTTTACAAGCTGGCCCCGGGTAAAGGATTTTGACTTCCAGGGGTCGCGTGGGTGGGGTGTGGGCGATTTCGTCGGCTGTGTGGGGTGTGGGCGACTTCGTCGGCTGTTAAACACTTTTTCTGGCCTCGGGGTGCTTTCCTGCAGCCGCGCCTCGGCTGAGGGAGGGGGTGATGGGCATTTTTTTTGTCATAATGCCGTAAGGGGTTTCTTGGAGATTTTTTCTGGCCTCGAGGTGCTTTCGCAAGCAGCTGTGCCTCGGCTGGGGGCGTTCCAGGGGTGCCTGGAGCACCCCAGACTGTCGCCGGAGTCCGGAGTTGCGACTCGTGAGCCAGACGTCGTGTCGCGAACAATCACGACGGACAGTTTTTGACAATATTCGGGCTCCCACGGCCCTTCAGGATGAAAAGTCGGACCCCGCGAAGGGCTCGTCAGACCTAGTCTTCGCGGTAACCGCGCTGGGAGCACAATCACGACATTGGATGGCTGGGCACCCCAGGCGTGCGACGTCGTGATTTTCGTCCGAACTTGGCCCCTTGGGGGACCAGCTTCTCATCCCGAGACGGTTTTCGGCCCAAGGGCTTGGTGAGCGCCCCAGAGGCCGAGAATGGCCCTGCGCGGGGAGGTCAGGGGAGGAGGAGAAGGAGAGGGGAGGAGGACACGTGGCAGCTCCAACTTCGGGTCCAATGCCATCAGTGCCCATGATGAGGAGGAGGAGGAGGAGGAGGAGGAGGAGGAGGAGGCGGAGGAGGAGGAGCAGGAGGCGGAGGAGGCGGAGGAGGCGGAGGAGGCGGAGGAGGAGGCCGAAACTGGCTCCGAACCTCCCGTCGCGCTTCTACTCCGCTGCACGGCGCGAGGCGGTCTGGGGTCCTGGGCCCCCCCCTCTCGTCGGCGCGCCCGGCGAGCGCCTCGCCGGCCCCCGAGCACGGGCCGCCGGAGGCGGGCAGGCCGCGGGTGCAGGGCCCGGAGTCGCCGGAGCCCAGCGGGGGGCGGGGAGTCTTCCCCCCTCCTCCCACCTCCCTCCCTCCTTCCTCCTTCCTCATTCCTCCTCCCTCCTCCTTCCTCTTGCCCTCCCTCCTCCTTCCTCCCTCCTCTCCTTTCTCTTCCTCTCCCTACTGCTCGTCGTCCTCCTCCTCCTGCCGCTGCCTCCTGCCTCCTCCTCTTGCCTTCCCTCCTCCTCCTCGTCCTCCTCGTCGTCCTCCTCCGCCTCATCCTCCTTGGTGTTTATGCACGCTCCAGGATCCTCAAACGATTGTCTTCCAACGGGGGACTCCTCTCAGTGGAAATGAATTCGTGTAGGGCCTTTGAGGAGGGAGCTTGGAGGCAGGCTTTATCCCAAAATCATTGATGAGTCTTGGGCCTTGGGTTTACTGGTCATTCGCCTCCTCCTCACCCGCCTGCGCTCCTGCCTCCTCCGCCTCCTCCTTTCTCCTTCCTCCCTCCTTCTCCTCCCTGCTCTTCCGTCTCCTCTTCCTCCTCCTCTTTCTATTCCTCCTCCCCTTTCTTTCTTTTTACCTCCCGCCTCTTGCCTCTCCCATCCTCCTCCCTCCTCCCTCGTCCTCTTGCCTCTTGCCTCCCCCATCCTCCTGCTCCTCCTGCCTCTTGCCCCACCCCGCATCCTCCTCCGTCCTCCATCCTCCATGCTCCATGCTCCTCCTCCTCCTCCTCCTCCACCCCCTCCTCCTCCTTCTCCTCCTCCATCCGCACTTTGCCGATGAGCTCCTCCTCCCTAAAGATGGGTGCAGGTACGCCCTGAGCCTACTTCGAGTCGGGCGATCCTCCTCCTCCGGGGGGACTCCTGCCTCCTGCGCTGACGAGATCTGGCCGCGGAGGCCCTGCCAGTGGTTTTTTAGCCAGATCGTTCCGATCCTCAGGCAGTGGCGAAGCGTCTTGGCTCGCCTATAGCCCTACCAAACAATGTTCTAAGAACCTTTTGTGGTTTCCACGAAATGTTCTTAGAACATTTCTGGCGTAGGCTGTCTTGCTTTAACACATCGGGCTAATGGTCTAAGAGTATTGTTTTTGTTTCAACATTTTTGGGTTCTAAGAACATTTCGTGGTAGGACTATAGGAATGCCGGGACGGTCGGTCCCTGCTCAAGATCCGAGCTCGGTTTCGATCTGGATCGGAGTCGATTCCCTTGGCATCCGTCGTGGAGCAGATAGGAGATTCGATCGCCGAACGGGAAAACGCACGCACGAAATCGAACGATGCACGAGGAGCGGACGTCCGAGCGAGGGCGAGATCCTGTATTCCGACGATCCCTCCAGCACCGAACCCGGTAAGCAAACTCCGTATCGATTTGATGACTTGTCCAAGACATTGCGAGGCTTGGGTCGGGAGAGAAACACCCCGATGCCGATGCTTACCCTCACAGGGTCCGACAGATCTTATTCGGTGTCGGTTCTGGCCAGCCCCATCGGATCTGATCCCGATGTTCCGCCGATCCGATGCTGCCCGATGCTGGCGTTGCTGTGCGTCCTGGCGTGGCCGATCGAACTCGGTTTCGGTTCCGTGCCGAGGCAGCCCGATCCAACGCACACTCCGACTCGGTCCGATTTTTACCAGCCTGGAACCTATCCCTATCCCTATGTTGGGCATCGCCTCGTCACGCTGGCGATCTCAGGGATTCCCTCCGTTTCTGAGGGTGCCTCCCTCAGATTGTCATCGCCTCTTGGCGTGTCAGTCTCAGGGATTGGGATACGTTCGAGGCTCGTTAGATTCCTCGTGCTTTCTCCGTCCGGTGCCGACCGCTCCCGCCCTTTCCGCCCGTGCTCGCCCCCGGCAGCCTGGGGTTAAGTCGGGCCTGTCCCCCTACAGGGGGATTTTCGACGAAAAATAAAAGATACCCAAACATTACCCCCCAAATGCCCCAAACAGGTCAACACACATTCAAAAGATAGCTTTTTGATGATTTCTGGGGTATTTTTTATTTTTCGTCGAAAATCCCCCCGGGGCCACGCCGTCGCCACGGCTGGTCTCTCGCGCTGGAAGAGTCCCGGCTGGAGCGCACCCCCGGAGAAGCCCGCGGAGCGGCGGCGTCGGGCCTGTCCCCTCTGTAGGGGGACATCGGCAGGAAGTAATCGGGCACGAGGAGGAGGAGGAGGAGGAGGAGGAGGAGGAGGAGGACAGGTGTGTGTGTGTACCTGTAAGTCGGGCCTGTCCCTCTGCAGGAGGACGTAGTCAAAAACTCGTCCGGGGGCGATGTTTCCAGTGCTTTTGGTGATTGTGTTGAGCATGGTTTGACTATGTTTGAGTTTTCGTCCAGTGTGTGTGTGTGTGTGTGTGTGTGTGTACCTGTAAGTCTGGCCTGTCCCTCTACAGGAGGACGTAGTCCGAAAATCGTCTTGGGGCGATGTTTCCAGTGTCTTTGGTGATTGCTGAGCATGGTTTGACCATGTGTTTGAGTTTTCGTCCAGAGCCTGCCTGTAGGAGGACACGCCCGACCCAGGTGTACCTTCCTGCGACGCCGTGAGCTGTTCACAGCGTGGCTCCCTCGATGTCTGGACCTCTTCTGGGGACCGTCTCTGCACCTCGAGCTGTTCTTTGGACGGCCCCGGCGGCCAGGTGAGGGCCCCGCGGAGACCGGAACCAGCCGAACCTCTTCCGACCGTTGATGTTGATGTTGATGTTGTTGTGGTTGTGGTTGTTGCTGTTGTTGTTGTTGTTGTTGAACATTATTTCTTCTTAAGAATAATTATTGTTGGGACCCCTGGTGCGCGACCCCCCCGCCGCGCCTAGGCCGCAGCCTCATTTTCATCATTTTCGTGAGGAAGCCTCAGGCAAAACGATGTGGTCCAGATCCGGTTGTTTTGTTGACGCCCGCTTTCCCTTGCAAAAAACACTATAACATGGAATTTCTTGTTCTAACATATCCAAACTTCAAGAATCCCTTGCAAAAAATAAGGTAAAGTGGACATTCGCGCGCGCAAGACGAAATCCTTCCAAAACCTTAGTTTTCGTAGCGATTTTAACATAAAAACATCAAAAAACCAATGGTTTTTCAAAAAAAAATTGTCGAAATTTCATCCCGCGCGCTCTTGCGGATTCGTAGGAAACCCAACACTTTTTAAACATTTCTGTCAAACGGGCTTTTGCGAGCAACTTTGTCGAACTTCTGCAACAACGGTTGCGCACCTGCCAGGGCCATCATCCCTGTCAAATAATACCATGCGGGACACATTCGTTTTTTCTTCGCGCGCGCACGCCGTCGTCGTCGGCCGCGGGGCCCTGAATAGTAGCCACGGTCGTCCGCATGCCACGAAGTGAAGTGTCCGAACGTCATAGGGCGGGAAGCTGGGTGTGGGTGGTGGCGAAGAGTCGTTTGGAAATTTGGTAGAGCTTGAACCGGCCCCCCCACAAAGTGGGGGTATTGCCCGCCTCCTATGAAAACCCTGGCACTGGTGAGAACGGAGTGTCCCCACGTGCTAGTAATTGTTGTTGTTGTTGTTGTTGTTGAACACTATTACTTCTAAAGAATTATTATTGTTGGACCCCCTGGTGCACGCCCCCCGCCCAAAACCTAGGCCGCAGCTACATTTTCATCATTTTTCTGCGAAAGCTTCAGAAAAGTGGATTACCCCCGGATCCGGTTTTTTGTTGACGCTCGTTTTCCCTTGCAAAAAACAATAGAAAATGAAAATTCTTGTTCTTAGTTGATCAAATTTCAAGAATCCCTTGCAAAAAATAAGGTAAAGTGGACATTCGCGCTCGCAAGACGAAATCCTTCCAAAACCTTAGGTTTCGTAATTTTAACATAAAAACATCAAAAACCCAATGAAGAAAAAATTGTCAAAATGTCCTTCCGCGCGCTCTTGCGGATTCATAGGAAACACACCACTTTTTAAACATTTCTGTCAAAAGGGTCTTTGCGTGCTACTTCTTCAGGTGCTTTGAACTTCTCCAACAACGGTTGCGCGCCTGCGAGGGCCACCATCCCTTGCAAAAAATGAGACGAAGTGCACATGCGCGCGGCCGCCGCGCGCGCATGTCGAAATCCTGCCAAACACAATGGGTTTTCAATAATTTCAAGATGCGATGTTCAGAAAACATATGAAAACGCACTACTTTCTCATCCGAAAAATCTCGAAATCCATTCGCGGTCCTTGATGGGACTGTATAACATCAGTGTAACACATGTACTTCTGTAATCGCATCCCCACGAATTTGCCCCAAAAATGTGACCAACTATCTTGGCACTGCGTACCATCTCACGTGTACCGTGTACCACATCATATGTAACAGATGTGATCAACCTCTGTGGGTGTGTACCCCACGCCAGTGTAGTAGCCAGGGTCGTCCGCACGCCACGAAGTGAAGTGTCCCAACGTCATAGGGCGGGAAGCTGGGTGTGGGTGGTCTCGAAGAGTCGTTTGGATATTTGGTAGAGCTTGAACGGCCCCCCCACGAAGTGGGGGTATTGGCTGGTGTCGCAAGAAAACCCTGGCACTGGGGAGAACACTGAGCGTTCGGGTAAAATGATTGTTGTTGTTGTTGTTGTTGCTGTTGTGGTTGTTGTTGTTGTTGTTGTTGTTGCTGCTGTTGCTGTTGTTATTGTTGATGTTGCTGTTGCTGTTCTGTTGAATGTTAATTGCTAAACAAGTATTATGGTTGGACCCCTCAAAGGCGCCCTGGTGCCCTCGCCGAGGCGCCGGCTACATTTCTGTGAAACTGAGGCTCACGCTCGAGCGGTTTGGGGGACCGCCAAAACCGGCCCCCCAACAACATCGCTCCCGCTCGAGACGTTCTCCTTTTTTACTCAGGGCTGGTCTTCTTGCTCGCCGCCGAAAGCCGCCGTCCTAACAAAACCAGCGCTCCCGCTCGAGACTTCCTCCCGTTTTACCTTGGACTGGCGCGCTAGTCTTTCTCTCATCGGCGCCCCCAGCAAAAACAACGCTCCCGCTCGAGGCTTCCCCCCTTCTTACTCAAGGCGGTGCTACTCCTCGCCGCCGAAAACCGCCGCCCCGACAAAACCAGCGCTCACTCCCGAGACTTCCGTTTTACGCTGGACTGGCGCCCAACTCTCTTTTGAATTGGCGCCGCTCCCAGCAAGAACAACGCTCCCGCTCGAGGCTTTCTCCCTTTTTCTTGAAGACGGTACTGCTCCTCGTCGCCGACAGCCCCCGTCCCGACAAAACCACGGTTCCCGCTCGATGCTTCCTCCCTTTTTACTCAAGGCGGTGTTCCTCCACGCCGCCGAAAACCGCCGCCCCGACAAAACCAGCGCTCCCGCCCGAGACTTCCTTCCGTTTTACGCTGGACTGGCACCCAATTCTCTTTTGAATTGGCGCCGCTCCCAGCAAAAACAACGCTCCCACTCAAGATGTCCTTTCTTTTTCCTCGGCACGGTGTTTTTCCTGGCCGCCGACAGCCCCCGTCCCGACAAAACCACGGCTCCCGCTCGATGCTTCCTCCCTTCTTACTCAAGGCGGTGTTCCTCCTCGCCGCCGACAGCCGCCGCCCCAAGCAACAAAACCAGCGTTCCCGCTCGAGACTTCGTCTTGTTTTACGCTGGATTAACGCCCTACTCTCTTCAGCATTGGCGCCGCTCCCAGCAACAACAGCAGCCCTGCTCGAGACTTCCCCCCTTTCTATTCAGGGCCAGGTCCTTGCCTCACCGCCGACAGCCCCCATCCCCACCAAGGCAATCCTGTCATTCGAGACTTTCTTGTGCTTTACCCTTCGCTGGGGTTCCACTGGCGGTCTCGCATCGGCGCAGCAAGGCGCTGGCATGTGCTTTCGAGGCGGGATCAGTTGGAATTCCTCGGAGGAGGTGTTTGCAAGACCCCATTGGGCGGGAAATCTGGGAACGGGAATAACGGACCCCGCTATAGAACAGGAGTCCCCCATGATGTGGATGGTTATCATGATGGCCGCATGCTTCGTGTGGGAACATCGCGCATGAGGATAAAATGATTGTTGTTGTTGTTGTTGTTGTTGTTGTTGTTGTTGTTGTTGTTGTTGTTGTTGTTGTTGTTGTTGTTGAATTTTCATTTGTGCAGACTATGTATTGCTGATTCCCCCTCACCAGTGCATATTGTTTTTTCTAAATCAAAGTGTGCCCCTCGACGCTCGCACCCGGTTGTTTGTCAGGGAAAGTATTTCTGCTCAAACTGGGCCCCTGGCCCCCCGGATTACAACAACGGCTCCCGTCTGAGACTTCTTCCAAACTTACTCAGGACCCCCGCTCCTGAGACTTCCTCATAACATATTTGGGATCGGTGCTCCCGCCTGTGACTTCCTCACAATTTAGTCAGGACCCCCGCTCCCATCTGAGACTTCCTAACCATTTCCTCAGGAACGGCGCTCCCGCTTGAGACTTCCTCGCGGTTGAATCAAGACTTCCTCGCAACTTTGTCAAGACCCCCGCTACCGCCAGAGAACACCTCACATGTTATTCAGGAATTGCGTTCTCGCCTGTGACTACCATGCATTTGATTCAGAAATCGCGCTTTCGACGCTCAGGAAACACGCTGCGCCAAGGACGCCGTCACAATTCACTTAGTAATCGCCCTCTCGCCATATTCAGGCATCCCGCTTGAATGTCCCACCCGCCCAACCCGCCCGTCAGGGGATCGCCCCCCCCGTCGTGGGCTCCCGCCCGGGTTTTCCTTCAGGAACGGCGCTTTCGCCTAGGACGTCCTCGAACGTTCACGCTCTTACCTTCCTGCGCCTCCTCCCTCTCTTTCCTCCCTCCTCCCTCTTCTCCTCCCTTTTTTCTCCCCCCTCTCTTCCCTCATCCTTATGCCTCTCTGCCCTATTCCCTCTCCCTCCTCTCCCTCCTCCGTTCTCGCTCCCCTCTCCTGTCTCCTCCCTCCTTTTGTTTGCTCTCTCTCTCTCTCTCTGTCTCTCTCCCCTATCTTTCCCCTCTCTCTCTTTCTCTCTCGCTCTCTCTTTCTCTACCTCTCGTATATGGATTATTGTGTTTCCCCCTCTCTCTCTCTCTCTCCTTCTCTCCTGGCGTTTTTCCTCTTCCTTCGTCCCTCCCCTTCCTTTCCTCCCGCTCTCCCTCGTTCTCCCCTTCCTCTCTCCCTCGTTCTACCCCTCCTCCTTTTGCAGGGCCCACACCAATTCCAATGGCGGGCACATGTATGCCCACGAAGGATTGTCTGCCCGTTCAGGTTTGCCCGCCTGTCTAAGCCCGCCGCCCCCCCGCAAAGAGAAATAATCACCCCAAAGAGGGGGGTGATCGGGGACAAAGAGGGCGAGTATCGAGGGTGCGCGGAATTCGTTTTGAATGACACACGGGCAAGTAAGAACGAACAGTTTTATAATGCCTGTTGTTGTTGATGTTATTGCTGTTGTTGTTCTTGTTCGTGTTGCTGTTATTGTTGAATTCTCATCTCTGAATAATACTTATGGATGGTCCCTCCTCCGGTAATGTACGCGCGTTTCTACTGAAGTGCCCTTCCTGGGTCTCGTGCCCTTTTTGTTCTAATCAGGGGAAGTCTTCCTCCTCAAACTGTGCCCCTGGCGCCCAGCTACAACAACAACGGCTCCCGCCTTACACTTCTTTGCAATGTTCTCCCACATCGCGCTTTCGCGCGGGACTTCTTCACAATGTGTGCTGAAATCGCGCTCTCGCGTGGGGCGTCCTCGCAATTTATTCAGACGCCACGCCTTCTACATTCAGGAGTCACGCTCTCGGATTTCCTCACGATTGATTTGGGAATCGAGCTGTCGCTCGAGATTTCTTCGCGATTCATGCAGGACGCACGCTTCAGCACTCCGCCTGCTCGACCTGGCCGCCTGGGCCCTCGTTCCCGTCCCGCCTGGGAGGGCCTCCCCGCCCGATCTGCCCGTCTGGTTTTGCCACATGCTTTCTGTTCCTAGCACCCCTCCTGCTAGTCTCTTTCGTGCTCCATCCTCCCCCTTGCCCCTTCATTCCATCCGTCCTCGCTTCCCCTGCCTTAGGGGCTGCACGAAATACGCGTTGCAGGTAAGACAGATATACCCCCAGGGGGGTACGGTCGAAAACGAAGGTGGCGGGTATCGAGGGTCTGAGATATAAATGTTGAATGGCACCCGAGCGAATAGGAGCGAACAGCTTTAAGTTAATGTTATTGTTGTAGTATTTGTTGTTGTCGTTGTCAGTGTCGTTGTCGTTGTTGTTGTTGTTGTTGTTGTTGTTGTTGTTGTTGTTGTTGTTGTTGTTGTTGTTGTTGTTGTTGTTGTTGTTGTTACTGGTGTTGTTGTTGTTACTGTTGTTGTTGTTGTTGTTGTAGATGATGTTGCTGCTGCTGCTGATGTTGTTGTGGGGGTGGTGGGGGTTGTTGTTGTTGTTGCTGATGTTGCTGCTGTTATTGTTGTTGGTGGTGTTGCTGTTGCTGTTGTTGTAGGAACAGTTGTTGTTGGTGTTCGTTCGCTTATTGGACATCAGCCGGCAGAGACCCGAGTCAAGGAGGAAATCGAAGGAATCCATGTTTTCCTATCGACGCGAGGGGGTCGACCTGTTGCCCCAGGAGCCCCAGCGTTGCCCCCACGTGAGCAGCTGGTGTTGGCCCCCGTTGCTGCCCCCGTGTGTTGAGGGGCCTCCAGTGTTGGCCTCCAGTGCTGGGATTAAGTCGGGCATGTCCCCCTACAGGAGGCGTTTTTTCAAATAATTAGTTTTGAACGTGTTTTTTTGCCATTCTTCATTTTTCGTCCAAAATCCGCCAGTCGGACGACATGTCAAACCTAGTGCTGGGATTTCCCATCTATTCCCGCGTGCTGAGAGACTTCCAGTTGCGTTTTGTCCAACCTTCAGGGGGCCCGGGAGGCCCGTCACTCTTCCAATTGACAAATGCGAGCTCTTGGGGGAGCCAGCCTTCTGCCGATGAGCTCGTTGGGGAGCTGGTACTCATATTCTGATGTGCGAGACCTCTGGAGGGAGCCAGCACCTGTTCCGAATCAAACGAGCTCTGAGGGAGCTGGTATTTATTCCGATTCACACACGCGAGAATCCGAGACAGCTGGTATTTATCCCGATGTTCACACGCGAGTTCCGGGGGGAGCTGGGATTTATTCCGAGTTACGAGAGTTCCAGGGAGAGCCGGCTTTTATCCCAATGTGCACATGCGAGCTCCAGGGGGAGGCGGTCCCAGTGAGCTCCAGGGAACAGGTACAAGGAATCCCAGGACGGCCTCCAGAGAGCAGGCCCGCCAAAACAAAAAAGCCCCAGGGCTGTTCACGACGCGAGGAGGTCAGGGTCCCTTCGACAGTCCTCGGGACGTGTGTTAGCCCTATATGTGTGTACGTACGCACTTCAGCTCTGTAGGCAGCACTCAGTCTGTGTTGGCCCTCTCTGCGTCGCACTCGGGGCCTTCGGTGGACAAACACACGTCGGCGCTAATTAACACACGTTCCCCAGACCCCCGACGTCATGTTTTTTTCATTATTTCGACCCTCAGAGTTCTCGACCCATTCCCCAGAACCCGTTTTCCATCCTGCGTTGTTTTTTGATGGTCCCGAGGCCCGGTAAGGGCCCCTGGAGGCTAAAAATAGCGAAAAACCTCCCGTCGTGTTTTTTTCATGACTCGAGTGGGTCTGGGTTCTGAGGATCATCGGTTCCTGCTGCCCCAGGAACTTCCGCGGTGCGACTTCGACTTCTTCCGCGAGGACGCGCAGCGCCGCGCCGGGCCAGTGCAGCTCAGCCTGGCCTACCTGGCGAGGCAGTGGCGCCAGCTGCCCAAGGGCGGCCGCGCTCGCTTTGCCGCGATGGCCGACGTCGACAAGGCCAGGGCCGCCTGCGATTCGAAGAAGAAAAAACTCCAAACTTCGAAGGTTTTGGATCTGCGCTGGGGCGGGCCCCTCTGGCGGCGCCTCCGCCGCCGCCCCTGTCTGGCGCAGATCCAAGAAATCTGCGCGGAGCGCCAACAGTTTACATGTGTATGGCTTCTAACGATAACATTCGATGCGATTGGATTCGCGGGCTGGGCCGCGATTCTGATTCGATCCGATTCGGTGTGATGATTTCTTGGGACCTTTCAGACCCAGCCAGAACTGGGCGCGGCGATCCGGTTTCCATCCGATTCGCGAAGATTCGCATCCGCTTTCGATCCGCTCCGAGTTCGCGATGCGATCCAGCTTGGGCCTGCAAGGCTCGCTTCGAGAGGGAGTACGAGGTGTGGTCCGCGAGACACTCCGAGGTAGGGGGCCACATGCGAACCCTACCCCTACCACCCACGATTTCTGAGGGGGAGGTTGGAGTTCACCTCGTTCGGGAGCTCCCGAGCGAAGTGAACCCCACCCTCCCCCTCAGAAATCGTGGGGGGTAGGGGTAGGGTTCGCATATGGCCCCCTACGAGGACAGCCCGCTCGTCCCGCCCACGCGGGAGGAGGTGCTCGCGCAGAAGGCCGCCGAGCTCGAGGAACTGCTGGGCGGGCTCACCGGCCCCGGCGAGGCAGACTCGAAGAAGGCTCGAGAAACAACAAATAACATTAAGTCGGGCATGTCCCTCTACAGGGGGAACATTCAAAAATAGCAAAAACATAGTCTGGGGACGATTTGTTTTCAGTATGTTTTGGCCATTTTGGTGTATTGTTTGAGTTTGTTTTGTATTTTTCGTCGAAAATCCCCCTGTAGGGGGACACGCCCGACTGAAATAACATAAACAACAACTTTTTGAGGTTTATGCGGATTTCTCGGACCAGCGCTGGAGCCCCCTGTCGCCAGCGCCGGCTTTGAATCCTGAGTCGTTCGTTGACGACCCCGGGGCCCAGGAAGGCCCCCAAGAGGCCGAAAACGATGAAGCACATCCGTCTCGATCTGTTCGAGACGCTGGATGTGTGGGTTCATGCCATTCCCAGACCCCCGACGTCATGTTTTTTTTCATTATTTCGACCCTCAGAGTTCTCGACCCATTCTCCAGGACCCGTTTCTCATCCTGAGTCGTTTTTTGATGGTCCCGAGGCCCGGTAAGGGCCCCTGGAGGCCGGAAATAGCGAAAAACCTCCCGTCGTTTTTTTTCATGACTCGAGGGGGTCTGGGTTTGGGCGACCTGCGAAAACGGGGTCGTCGCCACCGACACTGGCGCGCGTGCTGCCTGCAGAAGGTCGCGCGCCAGCGCCCTCGTCTCCCGCGTAGTGTGCCGAGCTGGCGGCCCGCGTGTAGCCACCGCGCCCAGGTCGCTGTGTGCCATCTCGCGCGAGACTTCGGGAGGGCATGCCCCTCTACAGGAGGAGTATTCAAAAAGAGTAAAAAAACAGTCAGGGGACAATTTTTCTAGTTGTTGTTCGGTTCTTTTGGGGCATGGTTTGACTTGTTCTGCTTTCTACAGGAGGAATATCGGGAAACTGGAACGTATACATTACCATTGGCGGGCTGTTTTTCAATCCCAGGATTTACAAAACATGTATGCACCAGGATGCCGTAGACACCAGAATCCGTTTTTTGTGCGAATCTCAGTGCGGGACCGGAAAAAGGCATCGGTGTATAATGTTCGCATCTTTAGAATATTCAGAAAGAGTCAAGCGGTAGCCAGGGGACAATTTTTCTATTGGTTGTTCGATTATTTTGGGGCATGGCTTGATTAGTTTTGTTTTTCTTCCAGAACCTGCCTTTAGGGGCACCTGCCCGACCTAACGCGAGACTCGCTTCCGTTTCGTCGCTCCGTTCCGGCCACGCGCTCAGGGGCGCGGGGGGAGGGGGGAATGCTTCTCAGAAGCACCCCTGCTCCTGAGAAGCGTGGGCCTCATCTGCAGATGCGAGGACCGGCGCCTTCTCAGAAGCGGCCCCCTTCTGAGAAGCCTCCCCCCCTCCCCCTGCCCCCTTCTGCTCCCCGCCAATCTTTGCTGTAAGCCGGGCATCTACAGGAGGAATGTTACAAGATAGTCAACACATAGTCTGGGAACGATTCTTTGACTGATCCTGATACTTTTTGAATATTTGTTGGGTATGTTTGATTTTCCTCCAAAAGCCGCCTGTAGGAGGACATGCCCGACCTAACCTTAATGGCCCTCCGCGAGGCGGCCCTGCCGGCAGACTTCCCCCGGAGGTGGCGCTCGGCGTACGCCCTCTTCTGCCAGGACCGAGGGCCCCCAAACGGGGCGGTGACCACACCGTGCGGTGAGTCGGCGGGGATTCGGGGGGTCACCGCACGGCTCTGGGACTCGGGCCGTTCTCCGAGGACGCCTCGGGCAACTGGGGCGCCCGAGGTCCCAAAACCGTGCGCTGACGGACCCTGCGGTGAGGTCTTGGGGGATTTCGAGGTCACCGCGCGGTCCGTCACTGCACCGTTTCGGGAGGATCAGGAGGGAATAAAAACACACACAGACACAATGAATCGTCGATTCCCCAGAAACTATGGTGAACTATTGGAACCCTGTTAGTTGTTCTATATAAATCAAGGTCTATATGTATGAATATCTGTATATATATACACATATAACATCATTATCTGTATGTATGTGTATACCTATATATATGTATATGTTTCTTGATTCGTTGATTAATCACTTCGCTCATTCCGCCGGCCCATGTAGCCTCATCTCTGCTGTTTGCCCGAGGGATCGTTGTCAATGCGGCGTTGATGGGGTTTTCTTGGCAGGCGTTTCGGGAGTCTTTTGGAGGCAGTGTTGAAGCCTCTTGAGGTCTCTTGGGGGCTGTTTTTTGGGGGCCCTGGGGGCTTGTTTTAGGGGCCCTGGGGGCGTGTCTTTCGTGAGCTGTCCCATGCGTGGGTTGTGGGGTAGAGGCCTCTTGGATGTTTGTTTGTAACTCGTGGGAGGCCTTTTGGAGGTCCTGGGAGCCAGTTTTGAAGCCTCTTGAACAATATACTATCGTATAGCTGTTGCCGGAGATCTCAGCACGGTTCTGGCTCGTTGGGCCGGCGAACATTTTCTCCGAGCATACTGGCTACAAATGTTGGCAGCAAACAGCCGTCAGCACATCTTCCCATCCACTCGGACATTCACATGTTGCATCCCTGCCATTGAGCTTGTTGCGACGTCCAGCTTGTTGTGACGTTCAGCGGACAACAGCGTCAAGGGCGGCCATGGTCCGAGTCCAAACCACCTTTGTCGCGGTAAGGCTGGATCCTTTCAAGCGCAAGTTGTGCATTGCCTTCGAGAGAAGTTCGAGGGGATGAGGAGGAGGAGGTGGAGGAGGAGGAGGAGGAAGCAGGAGGAGGAGGAGGAAGAGGAGGATGAGGATGATGATAAGGATGCTGATGATGATAATGATGATGCTGATGCTGATGATGATGATGATGATGCTGATGATGATGCTGATGCTGATGCTGATGCTGATGCTGATGATGATGATGATGATGATGATGATGATGATGATGATGATGATGATGATGATGATGATGATGATGATGATGATGATGATATGATGATGATGATGATGATGATGATGATGATGATGATGATGATGAGATGATGATGATGATGATGATGATGATGATGATGATGATGATGATGATGATGATGATGATGATGATGATGATGATGATGATGATGATGATGATGAGATGATGAGGAGGAGAGAGGAGGAGGAGGAGGAGGAGGAGGAGGAGGAGGAAGACGAGGAGGAGGAGGAGGAGGAGAAGGAGGAGGAGGATGAGGAGGAGGGAGGAGGAGGAGGAGGAGGAGGAGGAGGAGGAGGAGGGAGGAGGAGGAGGAGGAGGGGAGGAGGGAGGACGGAGGAGGAGGAGGAGAGAGGGAGAAAGATGAGGAGGTGGAGGAGGAGGAGGGGGGAGGAGGGGGGAGGAGGGAGGAGGAGGAGGAGGGGAGGAGGAGGAGGAAAGGGAAAGAGGATGAGGAAGGATGGGGGAGGAGGGAGGAGGGTGGAGGAGGAGGAGGAGAGGGAGTGGAAGGAGGAGGAGGATGATCGCTGGCACTTGCTCGGGTGCTGGGGCGGCATCTGGGGGGCTTCCTGGGAATGCTAGGGGGCCTCTAGGCGGCCTCCAGGGGGCCTCTTGGGGGCTTCCTGAGGGCCTGTTGGGGGCCTCTAGAGGGCCCTTTGCGGGCCTCTTGGGGCCTCCTGGGGGCCTCTTAGGGCCGGGGGCTCGACATGTTTGTCCCAACCCTCCTGCGTTCGGTACTCGGTTTGAATAGAGCAGCTGCGGTCGCGTCTTCTTCCTCCTCCCGCCTCCTCCTCTCTTCCCTCCTCTCTTCGGGCTGCGATCTGTGAACCTGTCGCCACTTTCGAGCGCTGCTGGGGTGGCCAGCGGAGTGACGCCCCACGCAGACTCAGATTAGACCTCGCCATCCCTGGGGGGCTGCTATCTGTGAAACTGTCGCTACTTTCGAGGGCTGCTGGGGTGGCCAGCGGAGTGACGCCCTACGCAGACTCAGATTAGATCTCGCCATCCCTGGGGGGCTGCGATCTGTGAAACTGTCGCCACTTTCGAGGGCTGCTGGGGGGTCCAGCGGAGTGACGCCTCATAAAAGACCTCGCCATCCCTGGGGGGCTGCGATCTGTGAAACTGTCGCCACTTTCGAGGGCTGCTGGGGGGCCCAGCGGAGTGACGCCCCAGGCAGAGTCAGATTAGACCTCGCCATCCCTGGGGGGCTGCGATCTGTGAAACTGTCGCTACTTTCGAGGGCTGCTGGGGTGGCCAGCGGAGTGACGCCCTACGCAGACTCAGATTAGACCTCGCCATCCCTGGGGGGGCTGCTATCTGTGAAACTGTCGCTACTTTCGAGGGCTGCTGGGGTGGCCAGCGGAGTGACGCCCTACGCAGACTCAGATTAGATCTCGCCATCCCTGGGGGGCTGCGATCTGTGAAACTGTCGCCACTTTTGAGGGCTGCTGGGGTTGCCAGCGGAGTGACGCCCCACGCAGACTTAGATTAGACCTCGCCATCCCTGGGGGGCTGCGGTCTGCGAAACTGTCGCCACTTTCGAGGGTTGCTGGGGGTTCCAGCGGAGTGACGTCTTACGCAGATTCAGACTAGACATCTCCATCCCTGGGGAGCTGCGATCTGTGAAATTGTCACCACTTTTGAGGGCTGCTGGGGGGCCCAGCGGAGTGACGTCTTACGCAGATTCAGATTAGACCTCGCCATCCCTGGGGAGCTGCGATCTGCGAAAGTGTCACCACTTTCGAGGGCTGCTGGGGGGCCCAGCGGAGTGGGGTAATACGCAGATCCAGATTAGACCTCGCCATCCCTGGGGGGCTGCGATCTGTGAAACTGTCGCTACTTTCGAGGGCTGCTGGGGGGGCCAGCGGAGTGGGGTCATACGCAGATTCAGATTAGACCTCGCCATCCCTCGGGAGCTGCGATCTGCGAAAGTGTCACCACTTTCGAGGGCTGCTGGGGGGGGGGGCCAGCGGAGTGAGGTCATACGCAGATCCAGATTAGACCTCGACATCCCTGGGGGGCTGCGATCTGCGAAGCTGTCGCCACTTTCGAGGGCTGCTGGGGGGCCCAGCGGAGTGACGTCATACGTAGATTCAGATCACCCCCCCATTCCATCCCTCTCCTGCCCCTCGTTCTTATCCCCGTTATTCTTCGAGCCTGGGGCCTCAATCTTCGTTCGTTCGATCGTCGTCCGCCGAGTCGTGCAACGCATGCGCAACCCATGTAGTTCGCGCAGCAATTCACTGCGTCTACACTGTCGTTGTTCCTGCTAATGTTGGTCTACTCCTTTTGCCACTTGATACACGTTGGTTGGGTACGTCGCAGGGTAATTTCGTGTTCCCTCTCTGGGGCCTCTGCATCCTTTCAAACGCAGAGTGTGTATTGTGTCGAAAATTGGAGAGGATGATGATGAGGAGGAGGAGGAGGTGGAGGTGAAGGAGGAGGAGGAGGAGGAGGAGGAGGAGGAGGAGGAGGAGGGAGGGGGAGGGAGGAGGACTAAGGAGGAGGAGGAGGATTGAGGTGGGATGAGGAGGAGGAGGGAGGAGGAGAGGAGAACGGAGGGAGGAGGGAGGAGGGAGGACGAGGAGGATAAGGTGGAGGAGGATGAGGAGGATCGCTGGCTGGTTGAATGCTCGGGGGCATTTGGGGTGCCTCCTGAGGGCGCTCGGGGGCCTCTAGGGGGCCTCTTGGGGACTTCCTGAGGGCGTCTTGAGGGCCTCTTGGGGCCTCTTGGGGCCTCTTGGGGGCCTCTTGGGGCTTCCTGGGGGCCTCAGAGGGCCGAGAATTCGAGATTTTGTTTCGTGTTCCCTTTCTGGGGCTCTTCTTGACCCTCCTTGGGCCGTCTTGGAGCCGTCTTGGACCGTCTTTTGCCGTCTTGGGGCCCTCTCGGGGGCCTCTTGGGCCCTCTTGGGGCGATCTTGGGGGCCTCTTGAGCCGTCTAGGGGCGTCGGGAAGCCGAAAATGTGGAAACGCCCAAGTCTGTCCAAAACCTAAGGGGAAGCAATGAATTTTGCTTCTGTGGGTTCTCTTGGGAGTGCTCCTGAAGGCCTCTTGGGGCATCTTGGAGGCATCTAGGGCCATATTGGAGGCCTCTTGGGCCGTCAGGTTGCCAGCTTGGGCGTCGTGGAGCGATCTCCGGGCGTCTCGGGCCTCTCTTGGACCGTGTTGGGTGCCTCTTGGGGCCCTCCTGGGGTGATCCTGAGACCCCTGGGGGAGTCTCCCGGGCCGCGCCCGGGCCGCGCCCGGGCCGCGCCCGAGGTACTTTTGGTCCGGGGACCCCCAGGGGCCGCCCCGCGCGCGCGAAGTAGAAATGTTGTATAGATGTTACCGGAGATCTTAGCACGCCGCTGGCCCGTTGGGCCGGCGAATGTGTGTGTGTGTGTGTATGTGTGCGTGCGTGTGTGTGTGTGTGTGTGTGTGTGCGTCTGTGCGTCTGTGCGTCTGTGTGTGTATGTGTGTGTGTGTTTGTGTGTGTGTGTGTGTGTGTGTATGTGTGCGTGCGTGTGTGTGTGTGTGTGCGTCTGTGCGTCTGTGCGTCTGTGTGTGTATGTGTGTGTGTGTGTGTGTGCGTCTGTGCGTCTGTGCGTCTGTGTGTGTATGTGTGTGTGTGCGTCTGTGCGTCTGTGCGTCTGTGTGTGTATGTGTGTGTGTGTGCGTCTGTGCGTCTGTGTGCGTCTGTGCGTCTGTGCGTCTGTGTGTGTATGTGTGTGTGTGTGCGTC